CGGGCCATTTGGCTAGTCGTCTCCAAAGCTTTCATGGTTCTTTTGGGACCATTCTCCTTAATATTAAGACAGCTCATATTTATCTGGCATTCACAATGCGCCAGGAAATATGCCTTGCCCACGTGCGCAGTCGGAGTTAGCAATTCTTACCGCACTCGGGTCTACCAGCGAGGGGGCGAGGCACAGAGGGGTAGGTAGCTGGTCCGTGGTCACAGAAGCCGTGGGTGGGAGGTGGAATCGGAATGTGAGCCCTGGAAGGTGGTTGGAACCTGTGTTCTTAACCGCAGGCTGGCGCCGCGGTTGTTTGCGTCTTGCGTTAGTGTGGTGTGTGTGTCACAGTTGACGAGCCAACGCTGACAGATTTTTCGCTCAGGTCCACAGCTGACTTCAGGGGGTCGGGCTCTGAGTTGCACATTCTGTGGACTTTGAAAAGTTCTTTTAATGCACACACATATCTGAGATTGTACTACACTTCTATGCCGGTAGAGGCACGGGGTTTAAGTAACAGCAGAGATCTCAGCAGACTGGGAGTGTCCTTCCGGCTTCCCCTCTGCTCTGGCAGCCCCGTGCAGCCCGGCAGGGCCCGCTGGTCTCCCGCAGCCCCTCCCCTCCTGGCTCTCCCTCACCCACTCCGCCGGTCGAAGACCTTGGCCAGAAAGGAGGGGCTCTTGAGGGACCCACAGATCACCTGCCTCATCTCCAGTCATGCCTCCCTTACTCCCTGACTTTCCAGGGGACGGTCTAACGTGGTCCCCATCCTGTCTGCTACTTTAGTTCTCATTATGTTTTATCCATCACTTTATTAGCTGAATTATAATTCCCATCTTCATTCTTCTTTGAGTCACTCTTCTCTCTTTTTCTCTCCCACTTCATGCCTTGGTCTCATTCTTTTCCTGCAGTGTGAATGCGTGTCTTTATCTGTGTCCAGATTTTCCCTTCTTATAAAAAGGACACCAGTCATATTGGGTTAGGGCCCACCCTAATGACTGCATCTTAACTAATTATATCTACAAGGATCCTATTTCCAAATAAGGTCATATTCCAAGGCACTGTGGATTAGGACTTCAACATATACATTCTGGGGGGATACAATTTGAAAAAAAAGCTTTTTTCCTCTTCTAAATGACCTTTTTGATATATGGATGAATTTTGTCCTGTCTTCTCACTGCCAGGTAGTAAGTGGGCAAAAGGATATACTTTTTGGCTCAAAAATTCTAGTTACCCATAACACTCATAATTTGTCTTAAATGAAAGAGTTTCCATTGAAAAAAAGACTTATCATAGATTAGCAAGAGAATCTAATGGTTCCTTCCTCCATTAAAAAAAGAAAAAAGAAAACTTGTGGCCAGCTTGTGACCTTGTCATCGCCCTGATTTTTATAGGCTTCATCTGAGTAGCTGTGGTGCAGGACTGCCCCAGATATAACAGTCAAGGTGTTATCATTCTCTGTTGTATGCGTGTTTCTCCTCTAGCCAGTGGGGCGATTGGAAGGGCAAGGAGCAATTTAAGATTCGCTCAGTGAAGAATTTTATGACTAAATCATTTTATGCATCATCGCATCTCTCTCATTTTTAAAATAACCAGCTGAAATGGACACATTCATCACCTCTGATCTTAAAGAAGGATCCTAGACAGTTCAAAGTCTCATTTGAGAAGGAGCACCTTAAGCTTTTATTTGACTTATTAAATTTGATGCCATTCCTAGGATACAAATATTCTGGGTTTCCTAGTAGAGAAAATAAAACAAGCATTCAATAAATATTTTGCATAAAGCCCTTCTGATTTTTTACTTACTCCACTATTATCCATGTAACATCATAATCCATGCATTCATTTCTACAGTGCTGCTCTGTAGTTTAAAAGAGATGGCCTCATACATTTTAAAGCAAAGGGACCAATGTGGTAGAGTGAGTGGAGGAGAACGATACTAGGTGGCTGCATGGACCATTTTTAAGAGAACCTAGTCACAGAGCAGAACTGCAAGGCTGATTGCATCTTTGATGATCCGTCTGTGCTGCTTTGAGACTTGGCTCACGATGACATTTTATGTTTTAAAACAAGCAGGATCTTTTACGATTGGAAATAAAAAAAAGTAATTTCCTCTCCTTTTTGTCCTTCAGGTTGAAAAACAACTCAACTCAGAGACACTCTTGCAGTGGACCAACCCCAGCACCATGGCCAATGCCAAAGTCAAACTCTCCATTCCAAAATTTAAGGTGGAGAAGATGATTGATCCCAAGGCTAGTCTGGAAAACCTAGGGCTGAAAACTATCTTTAATGAGGATACATCTGATTTCTCTGGAATGTCAGAGGCCAAGGGAGTGGCCCTCTCAAATGTTATTCACAGAGTGTGCTTAGAAATAACTGAAGATGGTGGGGATTCCATAGAGGTGCCAGGATCACGAATCCTACAACACAAGGATGAATTCAATGCTGACCACCCATTTATTTACATCATCAGGCACAACAAAACTCGAAACATCATTTTCTTGGGCAAGTTCTGTTCTCCTTAAGTGGCAGAGCCCAGGTTAAGCCAAACTCTGCATCCAGAGAATCACTTTCTAAATATGGTAAATTGTTAATATTGCTGGATCAAGGAACAGCTGGTACTCACACTAATAGACACTCTTTCCAATCCTTTTGTTGTTGTTGTTCCCTCTCTTCCAACCCCATAGAAGACAGTGCTTTTAACGAAAATGAATCACCTTAGAGGAAAAATATGTGTTCATTATCTGTCAGACTGTCTGGGGTTTGGGGCAGGAATACAGTCTTCCACCAAGAAAATTCCTATAAGGAGGATGTGGAGGATTTTATTCCCAAAGCTTTGCCTTCCTTCACTGGGATACAGAACGTTCTAGACATTCTCACTTCCCTGAGAGACTAAAGACACCGTGGTACATGAGCTCCTCAGAACTTTTCCTGGCACCAGTGAAACTTGGGCACACGTTCAGGCTACTGTAGAAACACAGTTCCTTAAGCTAAACTCTGTGGGACAAATATTTTCTTCAAACTCTGATTTTTTTTTTTGATTTTAGAAAGATAATATTTTGCACATACTGTGTGTTATGGAACTCCACTGATAGAGGCTGGAACGGCCCCCTGTAAGTCCACATATTAATATTTCTGACACAAAATGTACAATATTTGCAAGAAACAGATGAGCAAAGATGCTAAGTAGCCCATAAGTGTCAGGCTTGGTTGTCAGGAGCGTGCCACCAGCTTATGCGAAAACCTTTGTTTTCAGAACTTATTGAAATTTTGGAGTGTGGGGACAGGGAATTGCAGAATTCTAGTAGTTGACGGGCAGCACCTCATGGGGAAGTTCAGCTCTTACTAAAAATTCACTTTCACTTTTGCTAGAATGCCCACCTGGTCTTTTGGTTGGTGAGACAACACTGGCACAGAATTCTAACCGACTCACAAGCTTTTGGGTGTCTGACCACCAGGCACTTAAAACACACAGGGGCTTTCACAGTAGCCAATAAAGGGATTTTATGAGTGTTGGAGAAACTTGTCTCTTTGTCTTCTGTGACAGTGGGGAAGGGAAAGGAACTAAAAGCTGTTAGAAAATGTAATTAAAGTTCTTTAAGTGCTCATGCTGTCTTGACCGGGATTTCTTTTTTTTTTCAAAGTCAGTGGGTTTAGTTACTGCAGATAGCTGATAAGCTACAACAACAATTTTCAAAGCTGTCCTGAGAAGTCACCTGTGTCACAGGCTCACACTTTAATTCACTACTGAAAGAGAACAGTACTGAAGATTTGGTGACAGTCCCTCCCTCCTCTCTTCTCTGGCTCCATTGTAAATTGGCTCAACTTTCTTCATGCTCTGAAGGTTCAATGTTGAATTTCTTTTTCTGCTGTTGACAATGAAATATTGAACTTCATGACTTACTTTTCCCATGAAGTTAGAGTTATTAGTTTGAAATAGAACCAAGTTATCCATTCATAAAAGCATTCCTGGATGTAAATGCTTTTTTGGACGATACAGTGTAGAACAAAAAGGAGCAAGAAGAATGACTGCCCCGTTCTCTGTCTTCCTTCCTCCTGCCCACCAGCTCTTGCTGCATCCTTTGCTTCCCTTACATCTTGGGGAAGACAAGACCAGGGATGAACTAGAATGACTCTCAGCTACATAAAAATATATAATGAAATGAGAGGCCTTGCAGGAAGACATGGAACTTTCCTCCAGTTCTTTCCACTTTAGACCCCACCTCAAAATGTAATTTTATCAAGTAAGCTGTATATGCCTAAAATGGTTTTCTTATTAAGTCCATTTTCTCCCTCAATGTCATGTACATTTGTTTTCAATCCATTATAGCGTCCCTGAACCGAATATTCAACGCAGCCCTTTTCCTGTCCCTATGGTGTGCTCAGATCGAATGTGTCCCCTCTTGCAATAAATGTTGACTATAAAAAGTGACAAATGCCCCCGGAATTCTAAAAAGAAAAGACCATTTGTGCAGGATTTCTGGGAGGGGGGTGGCCACAACCAGGTTTTACCACTCTTGGCTCATTAGCCCCCTCTTTTAGGCTGTGAAATAGAAAGTGTGGGCGAAAAAGCTTAGTGAGTGTTTAGAGGAGGGGAGAGATTCGTGCCTCTTCAAGCCAAGTAAGTGTTCAGTGAGCTTAAAGTGTCTCCTGGAATTTGGAGCGTGCTGAAAGTTTTTGATTAACTCTTGCCTGGGATAGTCTAATCCAGTGGTTTTCAACCAGGTGCACTTCTGCCCCCTAGGGGAGACATTTGGCAGTGTCTTGAGGACGTGGTTATTGTCGCAGCCAGAGGGAGGGGTGCTACTGGCATCTAGCGGATAGACCCAGGAATGCTGCTAAATACACGACAGTGCCCAGAACAAATAATAATCACACGACGCCAACAGCGCCGAGGTTCAGAAACCCCGGGCTCTAGCTAAAGCTCAGATGCTGGCAGAGCAAGGGGCCAGGTCTCGGAGGGGGGGAGCAGGGCGGGTGACTGCTTGCTGTCAGCTACAGGGAGATGTGGAGGTAGCCAGGCTTGATTATTTTGAGACTGTGCTCAGCAGGTCTGCCCAGTGAAGCGGGGTGGGGGGGGGTCTCCAAAGAGCCCATAAGGGCATCCTGTGAGAAAGAGTTCATCTATGACACTTGTATGAGATGCTGGGTTACAGCGGCGCCTGTCAGGTAAGGTCCTTACTTCCTTACCGCTCCCTCCTCCCTTTGCCCCCACAAGTCGGGTGGGGTGCCGTAGGGAGGAGGAAAGGAGCAGAGGAGCAAAGTAGGGGAGTCAGGGAAGCCTGCCTCCGCTTCCTCTCCTCCGTGGTTAGGGAGCCCGAACCAGACCCCAGCTGTGGCGGAGGGAGATACTTTCGATCCAAAGAGGAAATGCAATTCTGATTTGGAAGAATTCGGGGCTCTTTCATTTCTGAAAATGTCTTTATTAAGATAAGAAAGTGGCTGGAGACGTGTTAGTCTAGGGGCTGTTTCAGGGATTTGGTCGAGGGGCTGGGGAGGAGGATGCAGTGCAGTGGGCTTCAAAGGGCTCAGAAAGAAAGAATTCAGCTGCATGTTCCTCGCACCTGCCTGGTCCAGTTCACCAGTATGCTGACTACAGGCCTACTGTCTCATCTAATCATCGAAACAAACAGATGAGGAGGAAACCACCATCCCATCTCATAAACGAGGATAACTGAGACATCGGCATGTAATTGGCTCATGGTCTCAGCTCATGGAAACTGAAGACTAGATTTGAGCTCATGGAGACCGAGGCCAGAGCGAGGGTGCCTGATGTCGGTCCTGCATCCCACCGTCTTCCCACTGGCACCCGCCCTTGGCAGAGGGCCACTGAGTGCCCCTGGAGAAGTGCCTCTCTCCGCAGAACCTCTAAACCATCTCCGTTTTAGAGTTCCCAAATGGCTGTCCTTTTCTTTCAACCAACACATCCCTCAATGTAACCAGCCCAGTTAGGCCCATGTGTCGAGCATCTTTTAGGGGCCAGGTGTTGTGTTCTCACAGTAACCCTAGAGTTAGGGGCTGTGCCCATCTATTTCTCCAGGAAATGTGGGCTCAAAGGAAGTGGGTAAAGCCTCCAAATTGGGAAGTAGCGGGATTTGGCTGCAGCTCTGTCTGTCCCAGCAGCCCACCCGCCTTCCGCTGTGATTCAAGGCCTTGGAGCACGACTGGGGGAGGCTCCCTCTGGGCGGCTTTGCTGTGATCGGTGCGTCACATGGGAACTCTGGGCGTCCAGTGTTGCCAACGTGATCAGTCTGTTCCTGTCCTTCAGGAAAACCAAACCAAGCCTCCAGGCCAGGCCCTGTGCCTTCCCCACCAGGACGCCAGGAGCAGCAAGACCTCTCTCCTGCTCTGTGTGGGTGCACAGGGGCCCTGGTGCTCACTGGCAGGATAGCGTATTTCTGCCTGAGGTGGCTGGACCCAGAAAGTTTTGGGACAGAAGTGAGATTTTCGAAGGGCCTGGAGCCTCGATCCGGACGTGGAAGGACAGAGCGGAGGCAGGGCTCTCATGAAGGAGATGCGCGTGCCCACTGGTTACGGGAGGAGCAGTGAGGTGACTCGTGGGAGGGCTCAGCGTGGCGGTGGGACCTGAGGGGAAAGGCAGGAGCCCAGATTAAGCCTGTGACTGTGCCTGGGCACTGGCATCCAGAAGGCCTGATGACAAGGGTGCTCAGGGTGGCAGTGTTGACGCTAGAGCTGCCTTGTGAATGACGTATATTAAAATATAGCAAAATATAGCATCTACATATTTACACACACGGACACACACATCTCTGGACATGAGGTTACTGAGCCATGGGTTATGCAAATATTCAGCTTTGGAAGTTACTGCCGAAGAGTTTTCCAGAGTGGTTCTCCCAGTGCCCCTCTCTCTTTTATTATTATTATTTCATCATTATTATTAATGATTACTTTTTCCAGCTACGACTCTTATCAGCACCACTGCCATTCTTGGAGAAATTATGAGCTGGGCACTATGCTAAACATGACACCTATCACAGCTCACCTTGAGGACCTGTTTGCGGTGAGAGGAACAGAGGATGAGACACACGAAGAGCCTGGCTGAGCGCAGGAGCCAGTGAGCTGTGTTTTGGGGATTTAAACCTCAGCTCTCTGCCTCCAGAGCCCAAGCGCATAATCTCTGTGCGTTTGGTTACATTAACAACATTTCACTTGGTGAAATAGAGCCACTTACCTTCGAGGGCGGGTTTTCTCCTGTTTACGTTAAAAATGAAATATTATGCTAAATAGAAGACAAAAAGAAGTGTAGACAAAGAGAAACCTTAGCTAAACATTTACATCACAAACGAACCTTCTAGGGATGTTTACTTTTCCAATCTTTCTGGTTAAATAAACATAATACATTTTTTGGAAAATTCTGGTTTTTTTTCCCCCTCTCAGGGGTCATATTCAGTCAACCGTATGCCATTTGCTATTCGTACCAGACTTGAAAGGCTTCCCTTTTTCAGTTTTATTTATTTATTAATTTATTTTCCTTTTTTCAGTTTTAGCTCTTAGGCCTTTCAGGTTTCACTGCTTTGACAACATTCTTGCCCTCAGCCCCACCCGCCATCACGGGAAGGCGTGGACGATGGGCGTTTCCCTGTTTGGTGGCTCCTGTCCCAGTGGCCACCTGCCACCGCGAAAGCTGCTCCAGTTTGCGAAGGCTTTCAAGGGAGGGGGTCCAAGCCTGTTCACCAACAGTAAACGACTCCTCCTGACCCGAGTTCTGCAACAGAAAAAGAAGATGGTGTTGTTTCCCACTAGAAATGGGATAGAGCCAGATGTGTCCCTGGACCTTCTCGCCAACTTCCAGGAGGCTGGCCAGACCCACGCAGCCTGCGCCCGTGGGCCGAGCCCTCCGTGTCTCTTCCGTGGGCTTTCCTGCGCCTCCCACAAATGATAAATAGCAATACGTAATTTTGACTGCTGGGAAAAGAGCGTCTGCTGGGACGGGCGACCCACGTGGCTGAGCTGTCGTGGCTGTCTCTTAGACCTAACAAAGGCTTCTTTGATGACTTAAAAAAATTTATTCAGTATCTCTGAAGGAGAGTCTGGAGGAACAGTTGTTCTTCTGGGATGAGAAGCCGCTATGGAAATTGGAGTCCATGTTTAAAAAGTCTTGAAAAGTTTGTGCTGAACAAAGTGTAACATGTTCTGCAGTATTTTCTAAGGTTTTGAGAAGCCATTTGGTGTGTTTTGTGACTCTCTGGGGGAGGCTGTGAGACTGGTTTCTTAAATGTGTATGACCTCTGAACCTGCTAGGCACACTGCCTCTCAGAGGACTATGGTTTCGTGGAGCAGCTTTGGGAAAAATAAGCTTACCAAAATTCGCTCGAGCAGATGTGGTGTGGCAGGTTGCCGCGTGGGTGCTGGCGCGGGAGGCGGTGGGAAGCCTGGATTCCAGCTCCAAGCTGCTCACCGTTTCTAGGGCTCGAGTTCCATTCAGACATGAGGGAGGGCCTTTATCTCAAAGATCTCTGAGAGTCCTCCGGACACCAGGAGTCCCCTGGGCCAAGGCAGATCTTCTCTGCCACAGCCATTCCTCGCCAGTCCTCCCCCAACCACGAACGTGCAGCCAGCGGCCGCCTCCATCACCGAGAGGATGG